AAATAGTATTTGCAACATCAACAAGACACCAATTTGTGAGTGTCTGAAAGGGTTCAGACCTGAATCAGAAGGGATGGATTCAAATAATCGCAATTGGTCTAAAAAGTGTGTAAAAGAATCATCATCAGATTGCCAAAATGGAGAGGGGTTTCTAAAACTTGTTGGGGTGAAACTGCCTGACTTCATAGAGTTCAAGTTGAATGAGAGTATGAATCTTAAGGAATGTGAGATGAACTGCTTGAAAAACTGCTCTTGTAGTGCTTACGCAAGCACGAAATTAGATGAACAAGGGAAGGGCTGCTTGATGTGGTATGGGGACCTGATTGATATGAAAACCCTATCAGCACTAACTACAGGACGTGATATCTATGTAAGAGTACCCTTTTCAGAACCAGGTAAGTAAATATAACGTTCATTGTGGTTTTCACATTGTTTTGTTGCATAATTTCATCTGAAAATAGCCTTCGTCCTAATACTAAGTTTCTTTTTGCAATATGAGCCCTAATAATATGCTTAATTATAAAAAAAGTTGAATCAGCTTGATAAACTCACAAGCGGCCCATAACATTGTAAAACTTACATCATAATACTTCCCTGCAACATTTCTTGATGGAAACTAGCAGAGACACTGTTCTTTTGTTCTGTAAGGAAAAAAAATCTTTAAGAAAGGTGTTAGGCCTAAAGAATGCTTTAGCAAAGGTTCCTGTGTGTTACGGATTAGCATTTTTGAAAAAAAAATGGAAAGGTTAATTTATTTTAAGAAAATTATTGTTTGGACTTGACCTTGCCTCTCCAAGGATCAGTGCGTGCTTCAAACGAAAAGAAACCAGTAAAGATCATCACAGTAGTTTCAATCATTTGTGGAATGCTTGTCTTGAGCTTAGTATTCTGCCTTATCCCGAGGACAAAATGGAAAAGAGGTAAGCATAAGTGTTTGACCTTTTGATTTTGTTTTTTGATTTTTTATTCAAATTTCAATAGAATGTTGTACTTTAATTTACATGATGAAGCTGTCCTGCTGCTGCAATTGTATGCTTTCAGTCATTCCTGGCAAGGTGAACTTGGCAGCTTTGTTCTGCTACATTATGAAGAAAATATGGGAAAGAGGTAAACCAATTCATCTTACCTTACCAAATCATCATCACTACTTTTCAAATACATTAGACTTGAAGGCTACAAGTGTCAGAATAGGCCAAGAGAGCTGCAAAGATAATGTAGAAGTGCCTTTGATTGATTTGGCTTCCATTGATGCTGCTACTAATAGTTTCTCCCAAGAAAATTTAATCGGAATTGGTGGATTTGGTCCTGTTTACAAGGTAAGACTCACTACTTCTTGGCATGGTAATGTTGGCTGCATTTTATCTTGCCATGCAAGGTCAGAAAAGTTTCAGCAAGTTTTCGCATCTTGTAAGTTGTATATTCTGTCTATGCAACTTGCAGGGCATCCTTCCAACAGGAAAAGAAATTGCTGTAAAGAGACTGTCCAAGAATTCAGGACAAGGTGCTGAAGAGTTTAGGAATGAAGTAGTTTTAATTGCCAAACTTCAACACAGAAATCTTGTTGGGCTCTGTGGCAGCTGCATTCAGGGAGAAGAAAGGCTTTTGGTCTATGAATATATGCCCAACAAAAGCTTGGATTATTTTATCTTCGGTTTGATTTCTTCACCTTTCATGCATCTTATCATATTAAATAATATTTGATTCCTCAATCTTCAATACAATAAGCTCAAATAAGATTGGAGAGGCATAATTTTAAGAAAGTTATAATAAGTCATGGGTGGTTTGCAGATCATGACAGAAGAGTGTTATTGGCATGGCAGAAACGCTTTGACATTATCATGCAGATTGTGAGAGGACTTATGTATCTACACCAAGACTCGAAGCTCCAAATTATCCACAGAGATCTTAAAGCCAGCAATATTCTGCTAGATAGTAATATGAACCCCAAAATTTCAGACTTTGGCTTGGCAAGAACTTTTGAAGGGGATGATAAAGTATCAGAAACTAAGAGAGTTATTGGCACGTTGTAAGTTCAATCATTTGTAATCACAGCCTTTTAGCATTCCAAAGGACTTATTCCAGAATTTCCATGCAGTGGATATATGTCTCCAGAGTATGCAGTTAAAGGTAAATTTTCAGCCAAGTCTGACGTTTTCAGCTTCGGTGTACTTCTACTAGAGATAATAAGTGGCCAAAAGATTAGTAATTTCTGTCATCCTGATCACCACCATAGCCTATCGGGCCATGTAAGTATACAGAATGATGTTGTAGCTTTTGTTCCTTTTCATTGCAGATTTTCTAATGACTATTATTCTAGGCGTGGATGCTATGGAATGAAGGCAGGGCCATGGAGCTGGTGGATTCGCGCTTGGAGGATTCTATTGTTGAATCTCAAGTTCTTAGATATATTCAAGTGGGCTTATTATGTGTTCAAAATTTACCCAAAGACAGGCCAACAATGTCATCAGTAAATTTTATGCTGGCAAATGAAGAAGCAAATGTGCCTTATCCTAAAGAACCAGGATTCTTCACAGATACTAGTTGCAATGCAAATAAAGCAACAAGAAAGGAAGAACGGCATACTGTAAATGAAGTGACTATAACAATGGTGGGAGGGAGATAGTAATTCCTGAGAAGTTTGTCTTTTATTTTCCTTCCTTGCTGCAAAACAAAGAGTGAAAAACTAAGAAGCTGGAGCTTAGTTCAATTGTTTTATATAATCACCCTTAAGAGGTAACATCGAGCAAGTTTGGGGGTCCAAATCCCAATATTTGCAAACTCTTTCCCTGTTCTTAGACTACGGTACTTTTTGTATAAAAAATATTGTAAAACTAACTGCAATAATTATTGTGGATATCAGCATTTTATAAACTCTTAGGATACGTAATTAAGTTGATTGACTGACTGTAATATCTTACTCTCTTTCTCTTGTCGCGTAGGTGGTTATTGACTAACCAAATATTGAGCAATTGAGTTAGGCATGGTTGTTGTGGAACAAAGGGTAATGAATTCATGCCTGGAAGATTCATGTCAGGTGCCAAATGTATTCAGTTGTGTTTGACAATGTCTTCAAAAATTCCCATAGAAGACTGGCGAGTATTGTCTTTTCGTTGTATATATCCATGATGGTATATGACAAAGAAATATTGCCTGAACCTAAATAACCTGGTTACGTCATTGAAAAAGCTGTTCCAATGATGTGGATGCAACATCAAAAAGAGAAGAAGCAATTTCAGAAAAAGCAGTAGCCATAACTGTGCAAGAAGGAAGATACAAATTCTGCAGTAATTTATTTTCTTTAAAACTTTTTTTTTTTTTTACAATTTATTGACAATATTTTTCTGAATTTTGGATTTGTATTTGTTTTGGTGTCAACTTAAAAAGGACAGCTATTGACTTGAAATTTGTTGACTTAGATTATTATTGAATAAAAATGAATACTGCTATTGACTTAAAACTTTTGATTTCTCGCTACCTTACATTCTACGTAAATTGAACAGTCAGAGGACAGCATTTTCTCCTAACTTCAAATTTTGCGTTCATAAATCAAAAGGAAATTTCATAGGAAACAGAAAAAATGACAGTACTAATTTTTTTTAGTCATTTTTATTCATCGATTATTCTTTTATAAAATTTATCTAATTAAAAAATCAAAAATAAATGGAAAATAGAGAAAACGAAAAAATAAGAAAAAAATGAAAAAAACTCACAAAGATGCCACATTAACACCTCATATTAAATTAAAAATATTAAATTTTTTAATTAAAATAAAATAATTTTATTAATACAATACATATAACTGTATAAAATTAAATAAATACTAAAAAAATATATTTTTAAATATGCTTTGAATTGATAACGACAAATCACCTTGAATACACATTTGATTGGGTTAGTTATTATTATTTTTTTAAAACTCCATCCATTTCAAATTTATAAATCGCTCTTTATTAAATTGAGATAAGTTAAAACTAATCAATTATCGATTTTCTTAGTATTTCTATCAATTTATATAAGTAAAATATACAAAAAAATACGAAAAAAAAAATAAATTGGGTGCCACGTTGATACATCCATTGGATTTTTTTTTACAAAATTACTTTCATAAGAAAGATAAAAACACAAAAAAAAAGGAAAAAAAATATTAGGGTATTACATGAACATCCCAATTAAGTAGGATCATATTGGGGACAAATTGTTTTCACTAATTCTATCCATCGGTTTTTTTTCCTAATTTTTTTAATTAAAAAACAAAAAAAAGGGACAAAAATAAATTAGGGTGCCAAGTGAATGCTTTCATAATTTTTTTAACAAAAATTATTTAAATTAATAACAAAAAAAGTTGAAAACAGTAAAATTTTTTTCTTAAATTATAATAAAATATTCAATTTAGTATTTAAATTTTAAAAATATTTAATGTGAAATTAAAATTATAAATATGTTAATTAATAATATATATATCTATAATGTATTATCATTTAAAGTTAATCATATTCGAAAATGAAAATCATATTAATTAATAAATTTTTAATTTTAAAAAATATTAAAATTTTTGAAAATTGATGCAACATATTAAACATTTCATTTCATCGAGGAAACATCGGTGTCAAAATTTTGGTGCCATGACCCTTGCTGCCCCTAATTTTGCCTATGAAAAACCACACCATAATTTAGGTCAAATAGCTAACAATTAGTTTTTGTTTAAAGGCTGACAACCCATTAACAAAGTTAGCAAATCCTCCTTGAAACAGATATGGAATAAATACAGACTTTGAAAAGTAAAATCACATGATGATGTGGAATTAAGAAAATGGCGGTGCACTCTATTTGCCAATCCCTGCAAGTAAATCTAGGCAACTCTGTTCTGTAATGAGTTATCTTTATGTTCAATACTGAAACTACCTATGGAGGATAACAATTGGAAACTGTTTAATGTTAATGGTCAATTGAAGACTTCTCTCACAAGCCTCTTTTTTTACCTTACGATGTTTTTATCAATCATGAAGTTGTCATTTGCAGCTGCTACGATTGCTGCAGCACAATCCATTAGTGATGGTAAGACTTTGGTTTCTTCATCCCAAAGCTTTGAACTGGGTTTCTTCTCTCCTGGCAATTCAAAGAACAGATTCCTGGGGATATGGTACAAGAATCTTTATGGGGCAGTTGTGTGGGTTGCAAACAGAAACAGCCCAATTGCTGGTGCAGGTGGAGTTTTAACCATCAACAGTGATCGAAACCTGATACTCTATGATGGAACAAACAGCACTGTTTGGTCTTCAAACATCTCTAGAAAGGCAGAAGGTCCAGTGGCACAACTCTTAGATTCTGGAAACTTTGTAGTTAAAGACAACAAAACCATGCAACCTGTTGAGATATATCGGTGGCAGAGCTTTGATTACCTGTCAGACACGCTGTTGCCAGGTATGAAGCTTGGAAAGAACTTAAAAACTGGATCAGAATGGTTGTTAACATCTTGGAAAAGTGCTGATGATCCATCTCGAGGAAACTTTACTTGCAGACTTAGCATTCAAGGCGTGCATTCTATAGTTGTTTATTCGGGATCAGCAAAAAGGTTCCGCACTGGACCGTGGGATGGATTTCACTTTGGTGGTACTCCCGTGTCTCACAACTGGTTTTTTGTACCATATTTGGAGCATAATGAGGATGAAATCTATTACGGTTATGAGCCCTTCAACAACCAAATTTTTATGCGATTAATCATGGACCAGTCGGGTACTGTCCTGTGTGTTATATGGAATGAGAGGGGCAGTAAATGGGGCACAGCTTACTTAGCACCGCCAGACCAATGTGACCAATATGGCCAATGTGGTGCAAATAGTATTTGCAACATCAACAAGACACCAATTTGTGAGTGTCTGAAACGGTTCAGACCTGAATCAGAAGGGATGGATTCAAATAATCGCAATTGGTCTAAAAAGTGTGTAAAAGAATCATCATCATATTGCCAAAATGGAGAGGGGTTTCTAAAACTTGTTGGGGTGAAACTGCCTGACGCCATAAAGTTCAAGTTGAATGAGAGTATGAATCTTAAGGAATGTGAGATGAACTGCTTGAAAAACTGCTCTTGTAGTGCTTACGCAAGCACGAAATTAGATGAACAGGAGGAGGGCTGCTTGATGTGGTATGGGAGCCTGATTGATATGAAAATCCTATCAGGACTAACTACGGGACGTGATATCTATATAAGAGCACCCTTTTCAGAACTAGGTAAATAAGCAATGAGAAATATAACGTTCATTGTCGTTTTCACATTGTTTTGTTGCATAATGTCATCTGAAACTAGCCTTCGTCCTTATACTAAGTTTCTGTTTGCAATATGAGCCCTAATAATATGCTTAATTATAAAAAAACGTTGAATCAGCTCGATAAACTCACAAGTGGCCCATAACATTGTAAAATTTACATCATAACACTTCCCTGGAACATTTCTTGATGGAAACTAACAGAGACATTGTTGTTTTGTTCTGTATAAGGAAAAAAAAAAACTTTAAGAAAGGTGTTAGGCCTAAAGAATGCTTTAATGATTATCATTTTTGAAAAAGATGAAAATGTTAATTTATTTTAAAAAAATTAGTCTGGACTTGACGTTGCCTCTTTATGGATCAGCACGTGCTTCAAATGAAAAAAGCCGAGTAAAGATCATCATAATAGTTTTAATCATTTCTGGAATGCTTGTCTTGAGCTTGGTGTTCTGCCTTATCCTGAGGAAAAAATGGAAAAGAGGTAAGCATATGTGTTTGACCTTGCTGATTTTGTTTTTCGATTTTTTATTCAAATTTCGACTAGAAAGTTGTACTTAATTAACATGATGAAGCTGTCCTGCTGCTGCAATTGTATGCTTTCAGTCATTCCTGGCATAGTGAACTTGGCTGCTTTGTTCTGCTAGATTAGGCAGAAGATATGGAGAAGAGGTAAACAGTGAAGAGTTCATGGCCAGTGGGATTATGAAATCTGAGAATACCCCTTGTGGTCTTGTAGTAGAATTAAAGTATTGTTGGTGGGATACAAGAAGCAATTTGCGAGAAGATGGCATTGGAAGCTCTGTTGCAGGCATAGTTTTGTTTCCGTTTTAGATTTTGCTCTATGTTAATTACGTGCTTTTTGTTAGGCAAAAAACTTCTATTCAATCATGACAGCTAAAGTATAATTAAACAATTAGTCAATTGCACAATAGATAATAATTTAACATAATTCAATCCAACTAACCTATATTTAGAGATGAGAAACAAATTCACTAGTTGCAAAAAATTACAAATATATATCAAAACATATCAACCATTTAACAATCAATACCTATAGATTCTTTTAATTTCTTCAAGTCTTATGAAATATTCTCAACCTAAACAAACATATACTAATGTGCACTCTTTCAATACAATCAAATACATACTCATATACACTCATACGTCATACTTATGTGAATCATCTCAGTCTCCTCTAGTCCACTCTCATGTACTATACAAATATATATATATATATATATAAGACGTAAATCTTTAGTAGTCTATCTCATAAAATTATGTAACTTTCTTATATTTTTTTCTCATACCTAGCAGACTTCATTTATTTATAAACATATAAACTTACTTATTAAGAATATTTTTTTCTTTTAAAATTTTCTTTTTACAAATCAAACTTGCTTTTTAAGAATTCATTTTTTCTTAGAATTCTTCTTCTGTAAATTTTTTTATCCATAAAATAATATTTGATCAATCTCAAATAAATTTTTTATGAAATTTAAGTCATTATTCCTAACACCTTTTAAGTTTTTTTTATTCTATAGATTACATTTAGCTACTTTTGTTTTTTCAACAAGTTATATGCAAGAAGAGAGAAGGAAGAAGCAGAAGCAATTTCTCACTTTATCTAAAGCAAGAACTAGATGAAGCTTTGCAAAAGAAAATTACATGTGAAGAAAGGTTAACGCATTTACATGCGGTCTTCAAGGAATGCATGCAGCAACTACACTTTGTTTAAAAAGAGCAGGAACCAAGGATTCATGATGCTATAATGAAGGCTTCAAAAAAGTTTGAGAAATCGCAAACGATTTTAGAGGAGCAATTAGCAGAGACTAGCAAAAGGCTTGCCAAATTAGGTGTTAAGAATACTAATCTTAGTAAGGCTTTCTTGGCAAAGGAAAAGGCGATTGATGATTTAAACAAGCAAAGAGCTCAAATGGAGATAGATTTTAGTGCACTAATGACAAGATTAGAATCCATAAGGAAAGATAATGCTTCTCTGAAATACGAGGGTCGAGTGCTTGAGAAGGAACTTGAGATCAAGAATGAAGAAAGAGAATTCAATCATCGAACAGCTGAAGCATCACAAAAACAATATTTAGAAAGTGTGAAGAAAATTGCTAAATGCTATGCTAGAATCAGAATGTCACAGGCTGCGTCTCCTAGTCCGAAAAATTGCTAGCTCATGCTGAGTTGGCTAAGATGAAAAATGAAGCTGAAATGTGGAGGAAGAAGTTAAATCCTAGTCATACTAGCGCAAAGCTTGATTTTGCAGTTGACAATTATTTAGACAACTCGAGCAAGAGGATTAATATCCTAACTGAGCCGTTACATGCTAGGGAAGAGACTTTGTTTTGTCAACAATAGTATTGAATTTTTATTTTTTTAACTAATTGTGTTGTTAAAAGGAAAAAAAGAATAGATATAAAAAAAAAAAGGAACTTGAAACAAAACTCAATTGACACGTAACATACTTTTACCATGTAAAGGATGACATGGCATTGAACGACTTAAAATATCTTACTCAAGGAAATAAGATTAAAAATACCCTATAATTGAAATAAAGATTTTAATTTACTTTAGTTTAGGAAAAAACTCCTATTTTTCCTGTGGTTGAAGGCAACAGGGGACTGGACTTGATTGATCCAGTGCTAGAGGAAGCATCGATGCATTTGGCAATAACATAGGTTTCTTTGTGGTCAAGAAAGGGCAGCGGATGATAGACGCACCATGTCTGATGTTGTCCCAATGTTCAACAAGATGGGTCATATAGGTTAAGGCTGAATGTGGTAACATGAAAATAAAATAAATTGACTTAAATTTCTAAATTAGGTATTTAAATTGGACTTTTACTAATTGACTTGACTTTTAAATTGGACCAAATAAATAAACAATAATTAATGAGATGATAAAGACAAAATAATTTATGTATAGAATTCCAGTAAGTTTGGTGGATATTTTTATTATAATATTATTAAAATGGGAAAAGGATATGAATTATTTTTGAATTATAATAAGATATTTAATATAAATATAAATTTTAAAAATCATTATTTGAAACATGAATTTATTAATTAATGTAATACTAAAAAAATATCATTTGAAATTAATCATATTAAAAAATAAATATCATATTATGTAATAAATTTATAATTTAAGTATACATTAAAAATTTTTAAAATTTAAATAACCTATTTAATATTTTATTGTAATGTAAGGAACATCTATAACATTAAGCATATCAAAATTTTGGGCATCATGAACCTTGCCTACCCCTAATCTCGCCTATGAATACAGCACACCATGACTTAGGGCAAATAGAATTAGTTTTTGTTTGAAAGCTCACAACCCATTTACGAAGTTACTAAATCCTCGTTGAAACAGAAGGGGAATACTGGGTCAGCCAACAGTGCGGGGCGTTTTTATTTTATGGGATTCCAATTTTGTACAGTTTTGTCAAATACAAACTTTGAAAAGTAAAATCGCGTGATCAAGTGGAATAAATAAAATTGCGGTCCACTATTACCAATCCTTGCAAGTAAATCTAGGCAACTCTGTTCTGTAATGAGTTATCTTTATGTTCAATACTAAAACTACCAATGGAGGATAACAATTGGCAACGGTTTAATGTTAATTGTCAATTGAAGAGTTCTCTCGCATGCCTCTTTTTTTACCTTTTGATGTTTTTATCAATAATGAAGTTGTCATTTGCAGTTGATACAATAGCCGCAGCGCAATCCATTAGTGATGGTCAAACACTGGTTTCTTCATCTCAAAGCTTTGAACTGGGTTTCTTTTCTCCTGGCAATTCAAAGAATAGATTCCTGGGGGTATGGTACAAGAATCTTTCTGGGGCAGTTGTGTGGGTTGCAAACAGAAACAGCCCAATTGCTGGTGCAGGTGGAGTTTTAACCATCAACAGTGATGGAAACCTGATACTCTATGATGGAACAAACAGCACTGTTTGGTCTTCAAACATCTCTAGAAAGGCAGAAGGTCCAGTGGCACAACTCTTAGATTCTGGAAACTTTGTAGTTAAAGACAACAAAACCATGCAACCTGTTGAGATCTATCTGTGGCAGAGCTTTGATTACCTGTCAGATACGCTGTTGCCAGGTATGAAGCTTGGAAAGAACTTTAAAACTGGATCAGAATGGCTGTTAACATCTTGGAAAAGTGCTGATGATCCATCTCCAGGAAACTTTACTTGCAGACTTAGCATTCAAGGCTTGCATTCTATAGTTGTTTATTCGGGATCAGCAAAAATGTTCCGCACTGGACCATGGGATGGATTTAACTTTGGTGGTACTCCCGTGTCTCACAACTTGGTTTTTGTACCATATTTGGAGCATAATGAGGATGAAATCTATTACGGTTATGAGCCGTTCAACAACCCAATTATTACGCGAATAATCATGAACCAGTCAGGTACTGTCCTGGGTGCTGTATGGAATGAGAGGAGCAGTAAATGGGACACAGTTTTCTTAGCGCCGCCAGACCAATGTGACCAATATGGTCAATGTGGTGCAAATGGTATTTGCAACATCAACAAGACACCAATTTGTGAGTGTCTGAAAGGGTTCAGATCTGAATCAAAAGGGATGCATTCAAATAATCGCAATTGGTCTATAAAGTGTGTAAAAGAATCATCAGATTGCCAAAATGGAGAGGGGTTTCTAAAACTTGTTGGGGTGAAACTGCCTGACTTCATAGAGTTCAAGTTGAATGAGAGTATAAATCTTAAGGAATGTGAGATGAACTGCTTGAAAAACTGCTCTTGCAGTGCTTACGCAAGCACGAAATTAGATGAACAAGAGAAGGGCTGCTTGATGTGGTATGGGGACCTGATTGATATGAAAATCCTATCAGGACTAACGACGGGCCGTGATATCTATGTAAGAGTACCCTTTTCAGAACTAGGTAAGTAAACTATGAGAAATATAACGTTCATTGTGGTTTTCACATTGTTTTGTTGCATAATTTACATCATAATACTTCCCTGCAACATATCTTGATGGAAACTAGTAGAGACATTGTTCTTTTGTTCTGTATAAGGAAAAAAAATCTTCAAGAAAGGTGTTAGGCCTAAAGAATGCTTTAATGATTATCATTTTTGAAAAAAATGAATATGTTAATTTATTTTTAAAAAAATTATTGTCTGGACTTGACGTTGTCTCTTTATGGATCAGCGCGTGCTTCAAATGAAAAAAACCGTGTAAAGATCATCATAATAGTTTCAATCATTTCTGGAATGCTTGTCTTGAGCTTGGTGTTCTGCCTTATCCTGAGGAAAAAATTGAAAAGAGGTAAGCATATGTGTTTGACGTTGCTGATTTTGTTTTTCGATTTTTTATTCAAATTTCGACTAGAAAGTTGTATTTAATTTACATAATGAAGCTGTTATGCTGCTGCAATTGTATGCTTTCAGTCATTCCTGGCATGGTGATCTTGGCTGCTTTGTTCTGCTACATTATGAAGAAAATATGGAGAACAGGTAAACGAATTCACCTTCCCTTACCAAATCATCATCACTATATTTCAAACACATTTAGACTTAGAGGCTGAAGTGTCAGAATAGGCCAAGAGAGCTGCAAGGATAATGTAGAAGTGCCTTTGTTTGATTTGGCTTCCATTGATGCTGCTACCAATAGTTTCTCCCAAGAAAATTTAATAGGAATTGGTGGATTTGGTCCTGTTTACAAAGTAAGACTCACTACTTCTTGCCATACAATTGTCAGAAAAGTTTCAGCGAGTTTTCGCATCTTGTAAGTTGTATATTCTGTCTATGCAACTTGCAGGGCATCCTTCCAACAGGACAAGAAATTGCTGTAAAGAGACTGTCCAAGAATTCAGGACAAGGTGCTGAAGAGTTTAGGAATGAAGTAGTTTTAATTGCCAAACTTCAACACAGAAATCTTGTTGGGCTCTGTGGCAGCTGCATTCAGGGAGAAGAAAGGCTTTTGGTCTATGAATATATGCCCAACAAAAGCTTGGATTATTTTATCTTCGGTTTGATTTCTTCACCTTTCATGCATCTTATCATATTAAATAATATTTGATTCCTCAATCTTCAATGCAATAAGCTCAAATAAGATTGACTAGGCCTAATTTTGAGAAAGTTATAGTAAGTCATGGAGGTGGTTTGCAGATCATGAGAGGAAAGTGTTATTGGCATGGCAGAAGCGCTCTGATATTATCATGCAGATTGTGAGAGGACTTATGTATCTACACCAAGACTCGAAGCTCCAAATTATCCACAGAGATCTCAAAGCCAGCAATATTCTGCTAGATGGTAATTTGAACCCCAAAATTTCAGACTTTGGCTTGGCAAGAACTTTTGAAGGGGATGACAAAGTATCAGAAACTAAGAGAGTTGTTGGAACATTGTAAGTTCAATCATTTGTAATCACAGCCTTTTAGCATTCCAAAGGACTTATTCCAGAATTTCCGTGCAGTGGATATATGTCGCCAGAGTATGCAGTTAATGGTAAATTTTCAGCCAAGTCTGATGTTTTCAGCTTCGGTGTACTTCTACTAGAGATAATAAGTGGCCAAAAGATTAGTAGTTTCTGTCATCCTGATCACCACCATAGCCTATTGGGCCATGTAAGTATACAGAATGATTTTGTAGCTTTTGTTCCTTTTCATTGCAGATTTTCTAATGCCTATTATTCTAGGCATGGATGCTATGGAATGAAGGCAGGGCCATGGAGTTGGTGGATGCATGCTTGGAGGATTCTATTGTTGAATCTCGAGTTCTTAGATGTATTCAAGTGGGCTTATTATGTGTTCAAAATTTACCCAAAGACAGGCCAACAATGTCATCAGTAAATTTTATGCTGGCAAATGAAGAAGCAAATGTGCCTTATCCTAAAGAACCAGGATTCTTCACAGATACTAGTTGCAATGCAAATAAGGCAACAAGAAAGGAAGAACGGCATACCGTAAATGAAGTGACTATAACAATGGTGGGAGGGAGATAGTAATTCCTGACAAGTTTGCCTTTTATTTTCCTTCCTTGCTGCAAAATAAAGAGTGGAAAACTAAGAACCTAGAGCTTAGTTTAATTATTTCATATAATCACCCTTAAAGAGGTAACATCGAATAGGTATGGGGGTTCAAATCCCAATACTTAGCAAATTCTTTCCCTGTTCTCCGGCTACGGCATCTTTTGTATAAAAAAATTTGTAAAACTAACTGCAATAATTATTGTGGATATCAGCACCTTATAAACTCTTAAGATATGTAATTAAGTTGATTGACTGACTCTAATATCTTACTCTCTTTCTCTTGTCTTGTAGGTGGTTATTGACTAACTAAATATTGTGCAATTGAGTTAGGCATGGTTATTGTGGAACAAAGGGTAATGAATTCATGTATGGAAGATTCATGTTAGGTTCCAAATGTATTTGAAGGATTTAGAGCAGAGGAAGAACAAAAAATAGAAGAAACTAATTTGTCACTTGAAGTAAATTGGCTCATCAGATCATGAGCTTCATTTCATTAATTTATAAGCTTCAAAAATACAAAAGTTTGTTTAACTACTACAAAAGTTGTTTGCCTAACCGTATGGATCACCATGCACATATCCATCATGCTACCTAAACTGATCAGATGGTAGAACCAATTACAAAAGTGCAAGTAGAAATGCCATACCTAGTTGCTTCAACCACTAGCACACTAACACTCCTCCTTGGCATTTCTGCTGGAAACAACAAGACTTTTCCTTAATGTTTCAAACCTTGCCTTTGGTAAGGCCTTGGTCAGAATATCTGCAATTTGATCTTTTGACTTGCAATGCACCAGTTTCACTTCATTCTCAGCTTCAACTTCTCTAATAAAGTGATACTTGGTCTTAATATGCTTAGTTCTTCCGTGAAACACAGGGTTCTTGACCATTGCAACTACTGACTGATTATCACAAAAATTTTTGTTGGATCATCTTGCTTTTGACTCAAATCCATCAAAATTTTCCTTAGCCAAATTGCTTGATTAACAACAGCTGTAGCAACAATATACTCTGCTTCTGCTGTTGATTGAGCCACAGTTCCTTGTTTCTTTGAATTCCAGCTGAACACATTTAATCCAATGAAAAACACATAGCCTGAAATGCTTTTCATGTCTTCATGGGAGCCAGCCCAGTCATTGTCTATGAATCCAACCAATCTTGAACTTTCATTTTTCTTGAACCAAATTCCAAGTTCATTGGTTCCTTTGACATATCTCAACACTCTTTTTGCAGCTTTAAAATGCAACTCACTAGGATTTTGCATGAACCTAAAGAGTAAATTTGCAACATACATGATGTCTGGCCTTGTTGCTGTCAAATACAATAAGCAACCAACCAAGCTTCTATAAATAGAACCATCAACTTTGTTAGCTCTATCTTCCTTAATAAGTTTCTCATTTTGAGTCAAAAGAGTGTTGACTGGTTTGCAATTTTCCATCCCAAACTTATTCAAGATTTCATTTGCATATTTTCTTTGACAAATAAAGATTCCTTGCTGGTATTGATGAATCTCCATTCCAAGAAAATAAGACATTTCTCCCATATCTGTCATTTCAAAAATTTTCTGCATTTGGAGCTTAAAATCCTCCACAAGAGCTGATTTGCTACCTGTCACCAAAAAATCATTAACATACGAAGAAATAATCAACATATCATTACTGTTAAAAACTTTAATGTACAATGTTGCTTCATTGAGGCTTTTCTTGAATCCTAACTTCAGTAAATGATCATCAATTTTGAAATTCCACACTTTTAGAGCTTGTTTTAATCCATTGTCACACCCCGAATCGAGGCATAACACGACCATATTACCTTGAAGAAAATCTCAAAGTAATACGAAGCTTTCTTTCTTAAACATTCTAAAATTCTTCAATAAAACAATATACCAAGTAAAATTCATATCTTTAATCCAACTGATGATATATCTTTATATATCCAAATACAAACCATATAAAATATAAAACTGCCTCTTAAAATCTCATTGGCCAACATATTCTCTAATGATTAAGTAATCATACCCATTTCATCTTCTAGCTTCACATAAGACTAACCAAACTTATCACTTAGTCATCTGTAAAAAAAAAGTAAAAAGGGAATGAACAAACCACAGCTCAGTAAGTATAGGCTCACACACCTTACCAGATCAAGCATCGTTTTCTTACACATCATATAGATCATTCAAAACATTCATCAAATCATAATATCAAAACATTTCAAGATCATCATTTTGTCAAATATTTCATAAATTCATAAATCAATGTCAAAATATGTCACTTCATAAATCATTGCGAAATATGCTATTATTCAAATATCATAATCAAAGCAAATCATGGATCAATCATTAAAATCATCATTATCATTGATTTATCATTAGCTACGGTCACTGCAATAACCCGTGACATTAGCCGTATTGATAATTTTATTTTCATGATCATTGCTAACTATTATAACCCGTTAGCCAGGGCTTACGCTAACTACTATTACCCGTTAGCCAGGGTCATATGATCATGTCTTTGCTAACTACTATTACCCGTTAGCCAGGGTCGTAGAACTAGTTCTGGTGTCGATGATCCCACTTCCCAGGGATATAAAAACGTAGCTATCATAAAATCATTCTTTAAACATAAATCATTTTCTCATTTCATTCATAAGCATGATCCATCATTTATATAGAGAAACACAAAATAATCATATGCTTGATCCTATTTTCATACATTGAAAATAATGAAATAAAACATTCTTTCATTTAGAAACATATATATATACATAGATTCGAAAACAAGCAAAGTGTGTGAGATTCTACTTACCTCCATTCGATTCCACCACTTAGTTTTTTCTCCTAAAATAATTAATGGCCTATCCAAGATCATTTCAATAGATCAGAATTTAATCAACCCTTTTTGAGACCATTTATACAAAAATCAACTAAGTTACACAAAGGGTTAACTTAACTAATTAATACTGGCAGCCTGACCTCTTTTCATTAAAACAGTCATATCTCAATATATCCAAATCAGAATTATGATCTCTTTAATGTGTTAAAAACTAGACTTAATAAGCTTTCTAACCATATATGGCACACCTCGTAATTCCTTGTAGATTAATTATAACAATTTTTGAAATCCATGTCATATACTGCTGCCAAACAGCCTGTATACCTTCTAATAAAAGCTATATATTTATTCACAGGAAACTCCAAATTCAATTCCGTTTGTTTCATTAGAAAGTAGACTCAACATATATGGCTTAATCTGTAAATCCTTGTAGACAAATTAAGAAGAATTTCGTAATTCAACCCTGATGCTGTTGTCTTACAGCCTGCACATCCTTAAGTTAAAATTAAACAACTCTTCATAGAAAACTCGGATTTGACTTTCATTTGTTTCATTAGAAACTAGATTCAACATGCTTTCCAATGATATATAATAATCACAGCAATAATCTATCCATTAATGCAAAATTCTATTTTAATTCATTATTACAGATCACAACATCTCATCCAAAAATAGAATTTCTCCTTCAATCTTTAAAAACTCAAATCCTTACTTTTAGCCTTCAAACTCCATTCAATAATCATCAATAAATCTTAAGAACATGAAATAAACAAAGCCCAGTAATTTACCCAAACAGATCATCAAGATTAATGAAGGATTTCATGATTTTTCTTGGTTTTTCTCTCAAAACTTCAACTCCAAATAATAGCAATCAACTTGATATTTTTTTTCAAATAAAAAAAGGGCATGTACTCACCTTTAAGGGATTAACTTGATTGTAGCCTCTGATTGTGAATCTCCAACTTGATTTTCTTTCTCTAACCCTAAGGAAGATGAAGAAGAAGAACTCTATTTCCTTTCTGTTTCACAATAGTTAGGTTTTCTTTCATCTAATACTTTAGTCCTTTTTTTTTTACTAAATAATGTCTTAATAAACTAATGGGCTTTAGTATTAGTCTAGCCCAATTTTATTTAAAGAAAATAAAAATAATAAAATCAAAAATAAAAAAAAGTAAAAAATAAAAAAATAAAAAAATGAAAATAAATAAAATAAATGAATAAATAAATAAATACAAAAAATGGGAAAAAAAAACCTGGGAACGGCTTGACTTGCGCCTCGGCTCGGCTCGACTTAAAGAAAAAAAATGGCTCGAAAAAGCAGCTCGAGGGTATTAGCTCAGCTCGACTAACGGCTCGGAGGGGCGAGTCATGCGTGGGTCGAAAAGCGGGTCGACGCTCGGGTTGGGTTAGATCTTGACAAAACGCGCGGATTCTCTAGGTTACTTAATGCAGAAATGACGTCATTTTGGAAGGGTATATAAGGCTGATTCCTTCATTTTTTTAGCAAATCGAGCCTCCTCCCTCTCTCTTCTTTTCTTTTCTCTCCCTTCTCTCTAAAATTTTTGAAGAACTCCAGTTGAATGTTCACCGAATTTTGGAAAATTCATTAGAATCTGGGTTTTTCGATGAAAGTTTATTCGAAAGTTGGTCGGTTTTTGGGAATCTTCACCAAAAATTGGGCAGCTGGCTGAAAACTTCAAACTTGATCGGAATTGTCATCGAAAAATTCAACTTTCACCGAAAAAATCACCGGAATCTAAAAATTTTCTAAAAATTTCCAGAAAAAAAATTCACAAAAAAATCTCCAAAAATTTTCCCTCGATTCTGAAAGCTATTCTAACGCCTCTAAACCCTTTTTAGCTTTGAAATCTCTTTTGTCTGTTTTTTCTCTCAACTAGTAGCTTTTTTATCTGTTTTTTCTTTGATCCTGAGGGTCCTTTTATAGGGATTGATCAGAAGAGTTTCTGATCAATTCCTATTCCTTTTTGGATGGAGATTCAATCTTTGAATCCAATCTGGATTCTAATTGAATCCCCATTCACGGTAGGATTCTTCAGAAGAATTCAATTTCAGCCCCCAAAAAAAAGAAAAAGAAAAAGAAAATCAGATAAATAAAAAAATATTAATAGATAATTAGAAAAAAATAATAAGATAAATAAAAAATATTACAAGATAAATAAAAAATAATAATAACAGATAAATTATAATATATAAATGAATAAATAATAATAAATATATAACTAGGTAAATAAAAAACATATACAAATATTAACAGAAAATAAAGAAAAAGAAAAAAAGGAAAAAAATAATAAAGATATATATATTAATAAATAGTAATAATAAATAAATAAATAATAAATACATAATATGCAAAGGAAAATATACACATAAAAAATAAAAATAATAAAAATATAAAATACAAAATAAAAGCAAAATTGGGCTTACCCATTTGGATCAGGCCCAATTGATCCGGGCCTGGACCAAATTGAGTGTCTACAGCTACCCCTCTTTGCACATTTTCTGTGAAACAAAAATTAGGCAAAGATATAGACACCCAATCAAGACTCAACTCGACATTTTTTTTATTTTTTATTTTTTTTCTCTTTTTTTGTTTAAGATTTGATCAAAACTCCTCCAATCAGAGGCTCAACGACTTTGAAAAATAAATAAAGCTTCTCTAATCAGAGGCTCAACGACTTTGGAAAATAAAGAAAGCTCCTCTAAATAGAGACAATTTTTTTGCTTTTTTTTGTTTTTTTGTTTTTGTTTTCTTTGTTTTTTTTAATTTTGTTGTTGTTTTTTTTTGTTTTTGATCAAAGCTCCTCTAAGCAGAAGCTGAACGACTTGAAAAAATAAATTGCTCCTCTAAAAGAGGCAACGAAACTTTGAAAAGTAAATTACTCCTCTAAAAAGAGGCACCACGACTTTGAAAAGTAAATTGCTCCTTTAAACAGAGGCACCATGACTTTGGAAAGTAAATTGCTCCTCTAAACAGTGGCACCACAACTTTGAAAAGTAAATTGCTTCTCTAAACAGAGGCAACGAAACTTTGAAAAGTAAATTGCTCCTTGACAGTCATGTCCAAAGGAGTTATAGAACATGATTGAAGGAATTTTGTAATGGGAACTCAAGGATTCATAATTTGAGTTCAACATTCAGAGGTTCAGATTCGTAAGAACCTTCCAACTTCATAAGAATTTACTAAAATTTGATTCTCAAAATTTCAGTTTCATTCAAATTTGCAAGATCTCAAGATTTGTATTTACAACTTACAAGACTTGCATCAAAGATCCTCATTGGAATTTTGGAGGCTCACATCCAAAAGTTGAAGGCTTTTCAAAGGTTCTCATTTGGCAAACTTGGAATTCATATCCAAAAATCTAAAGCTTTTCATTTGAATTTTGAAAATTCACATATAAAATTCAAAGCTTTTCATTTGAGTTCAAAGGCTCACATGCAATAAACTTAGAGTTTCACATCTAAGTTCAAATGTTCTCATTTAAAACATTAGAAATTCATATCCAAAAGGTTGAAGCTTTGTATTTTGGAGATTCACATCCAAAAGTTTAAAACTTTTCATTTGTTTGAAGATTCACATTCGATGAACTTTAGGGTTTCACTCCTCAAAGATTCTCATTTTGAAACTCGAAAATTCTCATTTGAGTTCTAAAAAATTCTCATCGAAATATTCACAATTTATTTTTCAAGTGACTCAAAAATTTACATGAATGAATGTTATGACCAAATATGCAAATGCCTTCTTAATGATACAAATACGGTAACCTATATTCTCATAGTGCCATGCATGTCTAAACAAAGTTTAATTCATCGAATTATGTGCATGTATTATTCAAGCAATGATGCCCCCATGATGCATGTAATGCAGATGTCTATGTCATAAAATTCTAAATAATTATGGTAAAATAGCTCTCAAAACGCCATCATTTCGCATGTCTTCCTTGTTTAGTTTCTC